CAAGACCAAAGCTTGACAGTCTAGTAGTTCATAGTCTAGTTGTTGCAGAATTCCAGAGCAAAAAGTAGCAGTCTTTCCAGTTCCAGACTGAGCCTGTTGAATCACATCAAGACCTTTGCAGAAAGGTACAATTCCTCTTTGTTGAATTGCTGAGGGTTTCTCAAAACCTACAACAGATATAGTCCAATATTAGATCTAAGTATCTAACAAATTCGAAAATAGAAAAGTGACAAAAATATGAAGACAATACTTCAGTACGAGACAATATGCACAGAACAACTATGAAAAAAGCAAAGCTCCTATGGTAAAAGTAGAGGAAGCATTCAGTTTGATCCAAAATCCCCAACTTAGTACCAGCACGAAGAGAAGGGAAAATACGTCTTCCTCTTCTTAATAATCTGTACAAAAGTCAAGAACTGAGAAAGAGAAACGGGAAAAGATTTTCAACTGACCGTATGCATAAATGCCCCTGAGGAGGTTCTCCTTCAATCCCATGGCATCAAAACTATCATAGACCTCATCGTATGAGGTAAAGAAATCTTGCCCTTCAGCATTTAGCCTGCATGTGCAAATTTGCAATAAAGAAAGTAGTCACACACATTATAACTAAATATTTTATTTCTCACACATGCATGATTTTGACTCCCAGATATGCTGATGTGTGGATAGACAAACTCAAGGCAATATAACATAACTTAGGAATGGAAAAGCAACAGTATAATCGAGGCAGTGATACTCACAATTCTGTCATTTTCGAATCATACTGACGAGCATCAAACTGTGATCCTTCAGGAGCTGCACCCGCCATGACTAGAAAGAATTCACAGCACATCAGCAAACAGAAAGTTTTTAGCTTGAACCCAAAAATTATCAAAACATGTATCCCACCCCACCATAACCGGAATCAAACCACGCTGAACTAACCAAAAAACCAGAAGTTCGATTCACCCCCANAGTACATTTCTCTTTTGTTTTGAAAACATTTTGACATATGTAAGCTGATTCACACATAAAGAGCACCCCATAAACAGATTCATAAGAGATATATCTACATCAAACCACACAAAACAAAAACAAAAAAAGCATTTAATTTACACACGATATCTAGAGATTCAAAAACTATAGCTAAAATATACAAAAAAGTAAATAGAAAATAAACAAAGGAGAAAGGTACCTGAAGATGTAGAGGAAGAGAAGAGATGCTGCAGTTGTGAGTAATAAGAGAAGTTAGGGTTTTTTCCCAAACTTCTCGGATCTACGGCCCACTGGAGTTTGTAGAGATACGATACAATAATGTGCGAATGTTTTGAGGGTTCCGTAGTAGCCAAAGAGACCCATATTTTTTCTTGTTCTGACGAATTTGCCCCTTATGGAATTGTCCTTTCGGGCTACACGTGGCCCATTTTGCGGCTTCCTTACATTTACGTACATGGCTCCTTTTTGAAGGCATAGCAATTGGAGAATCGAAAGGCCATAGGTTTAAGGTTGTCCTAACCTAAACAAACAAAATCTAAAATAAAATTCCAAAAAAGTAAGTAGCAAAGGAAAAGTTTTGATAAAGATTGCCCTAAAAGTTATTTTTACAAATACTCCCTCCGTTCCAGTTTATGTGAACCTATTTTCTTTTTGGTCCGTTTCAAAAAGAATAAACCCTTTCTAAATTTGGTAATAATTTAGCTTAAAGTTACAACTCTACCCTTAATGAGAAACTTTTATAACCACACAAATACTCTGGGCCCCATTTGGTCTTGTTTAGGACCACAAATTCCAAAAGTCTTTATTTTTTTCTTAAACTCCATGCCCGGTCAAACAAGTTCACATAAATTGGAACGGAGGGAGTATAAATAGCTATTACACCGTTCAACAACCCATAAAATATGTAGCCAGGATAACTTCATCGTCAAAATCTTACTCACTCCAATTCATATCTCACCTTGCATGGCTCAACTAACACTACACTAATTACAATAGTACGTAGCTTTAAAAAGAAAACTTATTTAAATGATCTGTTCTTTTCAAAAGAATGTCAAATATTATGACAAATGTTTGCGATTGAATGTAGTATAACTTTCTTTCAATGTGTCATTCAGACTCAGTTTAAGATGTATAGTTAGCATAAAATAAATCTTCCTAACGGTAATCCCACTAATTCGTGCAGTAATGCTCTCTTTCTGCAAAATAAACACGTACTTGAATAATTGCAGTTTTTGTGAAGTTTTACGAGTAATTTTGTGAGTAAAAAGAATATTTTGAAGAGGTGCAGCTCAAGGTACCGCTTCATACTGAATTTTCAAAAAATTAAAAAAAGGTTTAACCAAACCTCAATCTCAAGCCTTTCCAATTCCAGAAATTTGAAGTGAAATTCATAGTCTCTACATGTACATGGCAATTTAAAGCATTATTTTCAGAGAGCGTTTTTCCTTAATAAGTGGCATCTAATTGACAAGTTTCTTTGCACAGGCATTCTTACTATTCTAACTGGCTACATCATCTACCAAAATCCCAAAGTTAAATAAGCTGCATTGACAGTCCCTTCTAAACCCTTCAGCACTGGAATGTGCACAAATGACTCCCAAATTGCGACACAATATCCACTAATGCTCCGTAACCAGCTACTGCTGTTACCTGAAAGTTATGGGCAAGTGAAACCCTGTTTTAGTTATTGATAACAATAGTTTAACACTAGAGTATCTGTCCTGCCACAGTGGCAATTCCACTTCAGTTTTGGTGTACAATATTCTGGTTTTTTATACAGAAAAGAGAAGAGTAAGAAATCTACCTAAAACATGCTGATCACACTTGTGAAAATATAAAGTGGTGTATCAGCAAACTAAAGAAAAGTAGTTTCTTACCCCTGAAGGATGTAAAGAAATGGAAAACAGTGACTGAGGAGCACATGGTATCTGTGAAATAATATCTCCGTTCAGGTCAAAGCGACTAAGCAGGGGCTCCGCTCCAACCGCTAAAACCTGACAGGGAAAATGCAGCTCCTTAGCCAAGAAGGAATGGGAATAACCAAAAAGCATTTGATGGAATTAGTTGTTCTCACCAGCATATACGTACAAGTAAAACAATAGAGGACAGCATATACGTACAAGACATACGTGAACCAAAGCAAAATAATAGTACAGTGCTGAGACGACAAAGATCATAAGTCAAATAGTTCAAAGATTTAAACTTTTTGGAACGCTAGAGCAAATCATTATTCGATCTCTTCTTTTATAACATTTAAAGTTGAAGATTACTGTAGCTAAATAGACAACCAACACAAACACGAAAGAGAATCAAAGGAACTCATTCCAAAAAGGGGACTTAAAACAAACACAGGGAACAAACGAAACTACTTGGAAGTTGATATAAGTGAAAGAACTGACTTGATTATCATGAAATATGGCATCCTGGATAGCAGCAGTTGTCGTGATTCGTGAAACGCATTCACAAGCTGGAAGGTTCCATACCGATAAAGACCGGCCACTTCCACAAGCCTATGAAATCAAGCATAGTGGCTGTAATTAACATCCTTGATGCAGGAAACTTACTGTCAGTCTGTCATGCATGAAAATATGATAAAATATTCATTTCTCCAATCTCAACCTTAAAGCTGTGAAGTTACCATAACCAGGCAAAAGAAAATGAAAAAAAAAAAAAAAAAGCATAACTTGAAATAAACCAGGAGATGGTACTGTATCTCTATACCCACCTGTATACATGTAAAGGCACACAGATTTCCTTTCTGCCGATTGCAAGGTCAGATGCAAAAGCATGCACCAACAAGAATTCAGAACATCAACAAAGATTGCCTTTTTTTTCTTTTTCTTTTGAACAACGATTATGTTACTTATCAAGATGAAGAAATTGCTTTATTTTGAAGAAAACAATCTTTTTAACAATGATTGCTTCACTTATCAAGATGAAGAACTTGCTTCATTTTGAAGAAAGACAATATTTTAGTGGAGAACAAGAACCCTTAGCAACTATGTTGCTCGGATCCTCCAAAAATGTTGCGGGGTGTGTGTCGGATCTTTAAAAAGTATTTGCTCTTTTGGAGGATCTGACACGGGTATGGCGGTATTTTTGGAGGATCTGAGCAACATAACCTAGCAATGCTAATACTATATTGGGAGAACAATTACACTTGGCAATCCTAGAGTTTCAACTGCAACTCAACACCAATTGATAATTGCTAAACATTCATTAACATATTTCAGGAATTCATCCAAAAAAAGCTTTGCCATGTGGACTGACAATACAAAGTGCTTAAAACCTTCAACAGTAAAATAGGAATGAAATAACTCTTCCATGTGCTCCAATTCTACTAGTTCTACTAGTAATGACAGTTTCCCGAATTGGAAATAAAAAGATTTAGCTTTTGAAATGAATGGGGATAACAAGTTTGCAGCATTTATGGAAGTTTACATTTGACAATACCTAAGATGTCCAGTAGCAGTCAAGCAACACAGTACCTGGATTCAAGGTTCCACATACTGTATAATGCATGGAGTTGCTATCATTACCATGTTATATCAGCATGAACTTAGTCTCACAAAGGCCAAACAAAAGTTGTGCTCTATGTAATAGACCCAATACCCAGTTANTTCAAGTTTTAAAAGGAAAGACAAATAACTTTAGAATGTAAAGCTTTTTGGGAGAAAGGAGGGAATGATTTTTAAAACAAGTGAAAAGAGGGTCAAAGAATTACACATAGAGGAGTGTGAATACTGCTATCTTAAACGGTTTCATCAGACATAACAAAGAGAATCAGAAGAAAGAAAATCATGAATGAATAGAATGTAAACTCTCCTAAATTAAGAGATTCATATCTGCGTGAATACGGGATGCGTTGTGCACCGGGCTGTCCTTTTTATCTTATTATCATCTTCAAGTAAACACCAGTCATCATTGACGAGATTATTATAACTATACAGTAGGTTGACCCTCAAGGACATTAACAAAAGTAAGCTTCCGTAATTTCACAATGCAACAGATAGAATATTTGATCGGTAAATACAACAGAAAGAATTGCAGTATAAAAGCCAAAACCAAACAACAATTATAATTGTTGGTGCAGTAGCAAACTTACGAGAACGCTAGTTTGGTGTATAAAGGAATCTGAACTCTTACCAGCCAACTCTCACTTGCATCAAGAGCAATGCAACTGACATATGGAAACAACTCCCTCGACCTCTTATCCTTCTGTGGATCAATTATTTGAATACACTTACCAGTTCTGCAATCTAAGGCAAATTCATAAATAACAGACAATAATAAAACAGAAAAAATAGATCCAAATGAGCAAAATCATGTGTAATTTCTAAATAAGAGAGATAGCTCAAGTCAAGAAAAGGCAAAATTGGCCATTCATTACACTCCCTGCTTTTTATAAAAACCGAAATGTCCCCACGGCAGGCCTTATGCTCCTCTTACTAGAAAGAATGACATACCCCATATTCGTGCTGTCCCATCCTCTGAACCAGTTATAACCTGAAAATTGCCAAGCGAGAGAAAGAGAGAAGCAAAAAGAAACAAGGCAGAATTAGAATTCAGCCCAAATTCCAGGAACCATTGCTCAACTAAAAGTAAGCCACCCCTCCCACTAAGACTGAGAGAGGAAGCAAAATAAAAGTACACGTCTAAAAATATATTCTATTTCCAAAGAGAACAAAACATAAAGGTGCTGTTGCACTAAAAGAATTTTGAAATTATAAGTTTCAAGGAAAAGGATTTTTTCCAGCTCATATGCCAAGTTTAGTTTTAACCTCAAAGTGAAGAGCCAGCAACATGGGTATCACACACTCCTATCCATAGCAAAATCTCTTCAAATGGGAGAAATCAAATCTTGACAGAGAGGGAGGGAGAACTAGCTAGCACCATAAGCATTTGGTACATGGAGTCCATAAAATGGAATTGGGAATGACTATACAGAGAGAGAGAGAGAGAGAGAGAGAGAGAGAGAGAGAGAGAGAGAGAGAGTATGTATGGGAGAGTATGTATGGGTGAGAGAATGGGAGACAAACAGAAGCTTTACCTGATTGTGAGAATTTCGCGCAACAATGCAATGCAAGTAGTCTGAATGCCCTTTCAAAACCATCTTTATTTCATTCTTCTCCTAAGCACCAAAACTTTAATTAGATTTTCATGACAGATTTAGAAGAAGCAATGAAGAGAGTTGAAGTATAAGTCGATGAAGTAAGCCAAAAGAATGGAGAGATCTTATAATATGAGCCAACCATACACCTTGAACAAATACATACCACATCCCAGCAGTATGCACAAGAATCACCAGCAGCAGCAAAAATGGATCCAGTCT